CGAACCACATCATGAGTAAGTAAAAAGTAGGGAGAAAAACAAAACAGTTCAAAATGAACTAACAAACAATGAGGTCAGATATATGCAGGTCCCTGTAGAATACCCAAATTCCGATTCAAGTGGGCGTACATTTGTTTGAACTGCAATCAGAAACAACGGATGCCAATCCGGTTCTATTCGTAATAATTTGATATTTCGCAAAAAAAATATCCAATTAGGTATTTAGTTATCGTTCTGTTCACACAGCTAAATGTTCACTTTAGGCAAAGTGACCGTACAGTGACCAAAATTAGAATGACACAAAAGGACTAACGTGCTCTGGTAAAAACGTTTCACAGTTATACAACAGGTAGAAAAGCCGAAATCGGTATGAATTAGTGGTGAGGGTCGGTGCGCATACATTCGGTGTCATGAACGTGCATACATTTACACATGCATATACATGGACAAAGTAACGACAAAGTTCACTGACAATGTGCTATGGCAAATGAGCTCAAATAATTATATGCAATCATGCAGATGAGGATTGTATTTGTTATGGTTAGAAACTAGGCGGATATGCAGATATCGCATCTCGGGAGCTGGTACTGGAACCTGACAGTGGTGATCGATGTTCATAACTCCTTGCTAAACGCGCCGACACCGGTTTATAAAACTATGACAAGTTGTAATGAAATATGGACGTGCTGCCGTCTGTTTATCTTAACCCAAAACCACGGAATAAATTAGACGCAATCAAGGTGCGAACGGACAGATACTGTCAAAATAAAATAGGTAAGTTGTCAACCAATGCAGATAGTCAAGTCAACAAACACTTTGTGAAATTCAAAATGGAGCGACGTTTAGAATAGGAAGACAGAGTAACGCTGATCATAATGCTGAAAGCATCGAAGTCGCTTAACCATTGATCAGCCCTAAAAGGTTTCCATTCAGCTGGTGATTTTAGATGCTCAGTTTTGGACGAAAGTAAATTGCTCCCACACGAAAATGAATCAATTTCGAGCACAAATCTTTAGAAACAAGCCGTATACTAACCTGTCGAGGACACTGTTCGTAGTATGCTGAATCTCAGAACCTAACGTACCGTTGCAATAAGTTAATTCATCGAAGTTAGCCTCATTTGAATAACTAATTGTAAACACTCATCTCACCACATTTAGGTGGTACTGAAGTTCTGTATACGAAAATCGTCAACGACAAACAGCGTACATGCAGGCGATAAACAACACATTTCCGTGCGTCCATGCACGTAACCCGGTCGGTGACCTGAACATATTTCAGAGACCAAATTCAACTTGCTCCGATTTGGGTGATGCACTACAACATGAAGCCGCTAAGATGCCCTGATTAAAATAATTCTGTGATTGCGAAATCATACTGCCACCGCGGCAGGGGGACCAAATGGTCAACAACGGGACCGTTTGTTTAGGTGACCGTTTGTTTTGAAGTAGCTAGAATTTTGACAGCGACGAAAACAATAACAACAATTGAAGTTGCCACTGATCCAACTCCGCACAGATCATCAATCCCGTGTAACCACGAAACCACTATATAATAATTTTGTTGTTCTGCACTGGCATACAACTGTCTCATTTGTCCATGATCAACGGATGAATCATGTTCACCCCGACTGACCATTTGGGGACCCAAAAAGAGATGAACATGGTGGAATGCATCAACGTCGTCCGTCCCAAAAATGTTACAATATCGCATAAAAACACCTACTTAGGACAGTGTACAATTTTAGTCAACGCGTTTCGTAGTACACAACTGACTATGTACTGAAAAACGAATGGACGGTGTGTAAAATTATCCCTTTCTTGTCTAACGGACGCCGATAAAAATCAGATAAACACCAGTTTTGAAAACCAAAACTTTACATTCCTACATTTTACCCAATCAATTTATGTCTTGCACTAACCCAAGTATCATCTTGATCGCATGGCATGCGGCTTGGTAAGGGAACGTAACATGTACAGACGATCAGCGGACGCATAATCAGAGGAGAACTTTATAAATAGTCGCGATCCATGCACGACCAAACTTTTATCGTAGTTGCGATACTGTGAAAAGTGTACTAGGGTAGAAGTCACAGAAGCAATAATCAATTCCTCTTATTGCACACAAGACTACCACGCCATAGGTTCACCTGTTTACTACTGAGTAAATATAAAATACGATAAGAAAGGAGGTAGTGTTTAGGCACGTTCCTGTCAACCATCTAATGAGTCTGTGGAAAATGAACTGTGAGGAGCGTTCCTTAGTTTCATGGTTCACAGAAAAACGACTAAGCGAAACCAAAAATGCAGTAGGTATGTAGGATCCCTCCCGCGATCGATCCGCTTGAAGGAACGACAGCAGTTCAGATAAAGAGTTAAGTCATTCTGTTCTACGCTGGGTATTTTTCATGCAAGGTGTGTCAGGAAGAGAGCAGGATGAGGGTCGATTTCCCGGTCACATGATGAACACTTAACAAAACAAATAAAGACGCAGTCTCTAAATCAATGCACATCGAGATGTTTCATTAGTCCCACGGAACACACCGAGAACAACAATGTGGCGAATAAGCTCGTTTTCAGTTATTCGTAATCATGCCAGAGCTAAACCCTTAGGACTCGAATCTATTATCCCACCTTGTTTGTTTTTATTGTTAGTCATATTTAATGTTATGTAACGGCATGATTACACATAACTGAAAACGAGCTTGTTCGCCACGTTGTTGTTCTCAATATCGAGATGTGTCGGTATTCTTAACACTCCGGCAAGCTGGTGATCGTTCAGTTGTGGAAATTACGAAATTGTTGAGTGTATTAGCGGACTAGTCATCAAACTAGGGGGTCGCAATCCACTCTAACAACTTTTAAGTATTGAATTGCAAGCGGCTATGCTTTCGTGTAGATCAATTTGATTACCGCTTTACCAGAAACATGTGTTTTCCCAATCCCAGATACCAAAAATGTAGTTCTTTTTTTCACCATACAGCATGGTATTATGACTTTAAAAATGACGCTATTTACCATGCTTTGAAAAGGAATAAAGTTATCTAAACACATGCTTTCGTACTTCATGCATTCGGGACGGGAACACGACGTATGCATCTGTCGGTGGCAGACGACCGTGGGTGCAAGCGTACAACAATTGACACAGGAAAGCAATTATGCACATGCGTTCAGTCCATTCGACTCACGTGAACTGCTTCGGGATGTCACAGAGGGGGGGAGATGATGCCCGGAATAGTTTTAGTTCAACGTTCTGTAGAACAAAATGTTTACAAATAACAAATGCCGGGGTTGGTAACGCTGACAAAACGTTGTGACTGATCAGTTCAAAAAACCTTTGATCTGATCCAAAGGCTGGCGTTACATATTCCTTGTACAGTATCACTTTAGCTAAATGTTTTTTTTTCCAATCAGGAAAGTAAATGCAGACAACCGATCAGAACTTGACGAATGGTGGATGACTGATCGACCAGACGTATGGCTGATGAATACATGGATGCAGGAAAACTTAGTTGATTAATTACTGATGAATAAAAGTTTAATTAATTATTACATTATATAGTAAACGAACTTTTCACAGTTCATGTCTAAGTTCTGTTCTCATTTGAGTAGATTCTCGTGACTATTACTACGTACGGATTGTGATACGAGATGACCAATTTATTATTTGGATTTTCGAAATCAAGAATGCTTCAGTGGTAATGCGACACCTCCTGGCCTCCATAACATCCGTTACTAGCAAAAATCAACAGTGCCTCTTTTTGGATGATAATATTTTGAATTCTCTAAAACTAACACCACAAGAGAATCTCAAGTGTTACTTATATTCATAAAACTTTGTATAAGATCAGGATCAACCTCATGATCACGAAAATTAACTATTCACTTATAACACCCAGGATGTCGGTTCCTGAGACGTAAATATCTCACGAGTCATTTAAAGTTCTATGGTTCTTCCACAATGATTCGCCGTATGCAAGTGACCTATCGTGCCCCATCTGTCAAGATCGTCAAGTTTGATGAGAGGTCGGCATATGTGAGATCAATTTCCGCTCTCTCTCTCTCTCCAGTCTATACACAAATGCTTCCAAAACTCAAATATAATTTCAGTATTTCACAAGTTGAATTTCCATTATGATGCTCTGTCTAGCCCAATACTGGAACAAACAGCACGAAATATCTAGCAATCACCATTGACAACATTCTACGGTAACCTTCCGGTGCGAAGATCCCTGTTATCAGATCACATCGTTTATCCATTCGAATTCACAAGCGCAGAAAATTAGCAGAGGCATTCTGCCATTTGTCCGCAAGCCTATATTTCCTGCCGTGCTTTTCCTATTCAAGTGGTGCATTCTGGTCCGTTTATAAAAGTTTTTGTTAATGCCATAGCAGCTCGGGGATTATCAGTCGTGCTTCTCCTATCCATTGAATAACTGCAACACTGCAACACTCAATCTCTTGCAAAACTTGTCCCCGATATTCGGTACAATACCAAACAAACCATCAGTGCTGTTCTCTTTCTTTCTTTCTCAGCCAGGTTTGATTTTTCATTTACGGCATCCCATAGAATCACAATTCACTGTAACATACGGAACCTGCATTAAAACAATCTGTTACACGGTTCAGCAGTAGACTTCGACGGATCTGTGTGGATAGAGAACCTCTCACTAATTTATTGTTTTTTTGGACATAAATGAAATATCAGCTCCAATTACACCAGAATACAATGCAGTGGTAGTCTACTATTCTGACAAAACGGGAAGAGTCACTGCATGTTTGGTAAGAAACGTTGCTCGCAGATTGGACTGATATTGCTCTAAATGCCACACAAAACCCAAATGATGAGTAGCATTGGAATTACCAACCATCAAACGGTTTCACGGACGAGGTCCAGTCAATAGAAGCCGACTAACCGTTAGTCCTCTTCTTAATCCTCGTAGCCAAGCCCATGGTCGAATATGAACAATTTGTGAAGGGAATAGATCACGCGGGTGTTACTTACTTACACGACGATACATCTCATAGTCATTCCAACGTTCCTCCGTATCCGGAAGTGGTTCGTCCGCCCGAAGCGGAATTGTTCCATGTACCCAACAGTATGAATTCAAAAAATCGTTAAATGTTTCCCCACTGGGTGCGACCGGAATGTAGCATGAAAGGGAATTCAGCACGTATTGTTTGACCGACACAATAATGGTCGCCAGCATGAACAGGACAACAGTGAACAAATGCAATCTGTCCGCGAAGTCTTCGGCGGTCGAAAAATTCGGAATGCATATGGACTGCCATTGATCAAAAAATTCGGTAGCCACCATTCGGACCGGGCGGAACAAAATCTAATCTAACCTGTGTACGTTCGAATTGTCTTAGATATCCTAATAAATGCCAAAGTCAAGCGACTGGAGACGCATACAGTTTGCTTGTGTGCGTCTAAGCTCAGTTGAGCCGGATAAATTGGTTGCTATTTGTTCTCACTCATGAAACGCCCCCGCGCCCAATGCAGTGTGTGCGTGTGTGTTGTACGCAGGTGTTTGTGCATACCAGCGAGCGAGTACTTAGGCACGCACTTCGAAGAGCTACGCGATTGTGTACTCTCCGGTTCGGTGAACTGTCCCATAGGATCAGGTGTGAATAAGTCGGTTATGTTAATCAAGCACACACAAAATGGAATCTACCAACAGGCGGCTATCATGGCAATGGTACAAAACACGTCAAGGCGTAGATGTGTGTGTGCGCGCGTAAATGAATATGTGGGATGTATGCAGGAAGAGCGTAGAATGTGACCGGGGTGATAGGAGGAAACAACTCAATACGTGTCGTCGTTTCTGTCTCTCTCTCGCACGCGTTCCATCTCTCGCCCGTATTCATGTGTCAAGGTTTTGTGCTCATGCGACGCCTTTCGTCCAGCTTAAGCACTCAGCACTGACTTGCCGAGATCTCGAAAAGCACACATACAAGCCACACATTGGTACGCTAGAGTAATTCATTGTACGCCAACTGATGAGGTACCTCTTCCTGGGGCACATCTGAGAATCCTAAATCGTGCTGATCAGATCTCACAAATTTCGTCAAGTGATCACCATGGTGCTCTTGAATGGAACAGACAGACAGACTGACTAATGAAAACGTGCATATAAGATCGCTTTCTGAGATCAAAGAAGGATGCGATTCGCGAAATGAGCATCGACCGACCAATACCAATGGAAATTTTGCAAAGTGATCAGTTCGTGTTCGTTTCGTTTTCATGCCTATCCACGAAACGCTCGAATACGGTGGTTCCTGGTTCTTGGTCTGCAGTGAAATCGATCGGAAAGTATGCAAATTTGCCGGGAAAAAAGTGGAACGCCTGAGGATAAATAATACTGCAGGGATACGTAACGGAAATCTGTGAAACCCAGAGAATGCGGACCTCAAGAGTTGGATTATTCGTCGTTTCATTAATAATGAATGAGCAACAAATCTCAGTGGCATACGCTGTCAAGGTACGGGTAAAAATGGAAACACGGCAGACAGATAAATATCTTAGTTTTTCCACGATAAGTTCAATTAACGGATATATAGGTGCAATAAAGTATCGAATCAACCAACCAGGACAGAGAACGTTGGGTCACGGTTCAATGAATAGAATGATTCGTACCCAGGCCATGATATACGCTGTTAATGACACAAAGTACCAACGTTGAATGAGAAAAAACGAAGCAAAGGCCTTCAACGAAGTCATCGATACTAGGCATTGACTGAGCCTACGAGACTTTTGGTAGGGTTATTTGAGTTCCGTTTACGAACCTGACCGATAGCAACTATGGATGCCAACATAGAGCCTATCCGACTAATGTTGTGTATTAAAACTGATCGCTAACATCTAGCGTGACAACAGGCTAGTTGGTTACCGGGATTTTAATATTTATCGCTTCATTTTTGTTTAGTATGCTATGCCGATTTCCGCATTGAATCAAGTGCCATGTGCTATTGACAGCCTCTGTTCGGATACGTAAATGTTCTCACACTTGTTTAGTATTCGCCAAGAATGACTAATTGGCTTTGGTAACGTGGTGGGCATAAGGTAACTAGCAAACTGTAAGGTACCAAGATGATTTGTAGCCCAAACTGTGTATCCATCATCACCATTCTCAGACAAGGGTAACCTTAGCTGTATCTTGAAACCGCTACGGCTGGCTATAGCAATGATGTAATTAAGCATACCAATTGCTACAATACAAACTTGCTAGTTGATAGACTGATGGCTATTTTACTGGTCATTTACTCTGGTGCTCATTCATCAGCGTCGTATGGCAAAGCACAAGCGAACTTCAGTGACCGCTGCGGAAGTCGCAGTGCGAGCTAAATGATAGCGTATACGG